AAGAACACTATAAGGAACTAAGGGATTCGGTGAAGCCACGAAGGAACTCGATTGGAATCGATGATTTTAACATCCTTTTATGCATGTAATTCTAATTTTCATTGTTAAATATTTTTAAGGTTTGGATTTTCCGTTTTCATGAGATTGTTTTCAGAGTAATTCAATTCTTATTAGATTTGTTATGGATTTAGTCAAACTTTTTCTATTGATTAATCAAAATTATTATTGAATTTCAATTCCAAGCATTATTGTGAGATTGGTTTAATGTTTATTAGGTTTCTCATAGATTTAATCATGTTTTGTCTATTATGGAATTAAATTAGTCGTTAAATTTCAATTTCATGCAATCTTACTGGTGTGGTTCTTTTCCATTATATGCCCTATGTATATGATGGTTTTTGGATATCGTGTCAATAGATAAAAGTAGGAATGTGTTGTACAAAATCTGGATTTTAGAATTACCATATAATTAAATTGAGCTTTAATGATATATTTTCCAATTAAACTATTAAAGTATTAGGACAAATATCTTTAATTGAGTATATAATTGCATAATTGATGTTGATTGATCCGAACCAATCGAGGAAATTTCGACGCTTCATTATTTCACACATTGATATTTACAATTCATTCAAATTGATATATTGTTTTTACACAAAAGCTGTACTACAACTACCTTTGATCCTTTGAGTAATTTTCCCATCCCTCTATGGATTCGACACCCCAAAGTTGTATCACAACTATCGCATTATTCTTTGGCGTAATCACTCCTCCAGTTTGGAAGATAATATTGATAAATTTACTAAATTGATTCAAGATCTAGCTAATTGTAACGAGAAATTATCTGATGATAAACAAGCTGTTGCTCTGTTGAATGCACTAGGTCATAAATATAGAGAACCTAGGAATGCTTTAGAATATGGAAGAGATGATCTGGCTGTTAATATCATTATCTTAACCTTAAAGAATAGAGAACTTGAATTAAAATCTGAAGTGAAGGACTCTAAAATTGGAGAAGGGTTAAACAATAATAAGAAGTTGAATCAGATCAAAAGGAGTAATCAATGCAATTTCAACTCTCACAAGAAAGGAAAATCTCAAACTTCAAAATTTAAAAATCAGAACAAAAGTCGACTAAAATCCGAGAATCAAGTTCGGAAATGTTATTACTGTAGTAAAGCCAGACATCTAATGAAAGACTGTTTCAAGAAGATATTTGATATGAAAGGAAAGTCTAATCCTGATGGGTCAGTTGCCATAGCTTGTAATGATGAATATAAAATACAAGAAATTGTCCTTGTTAGTTGAACTAAAAGAAACCTAAAGGAACGGGTCCTTGACTTTGGTTGCTCTTTTCATATGTGTCCCATTAAAGAATGGTTCGTTGGATTTGATGACCTGAATGGTGGTCAAGTTCAAATAGGAATTAATATGCTTGTAAAATGAAAGGTATTGGTAACATTAATCTTTTGTTAGAAAACAGTCGTATTCTTGAGCTGCCGTTAACCAGATATGTTCCTTATCTTCTAAGAAATCTGATTTCCTTGGGTGAATTGGATAATGAATATGAAATTAAAATTCATAAAGGATTTACCAATGTGAATTTCAATTCTAAGGAAATAATCTCACTACCCAATGTTAATGGAATTTACATGCTTCAAGCTTAGCCATTAGTTGAAAATTTATCAGCTGTTGTATAGTCTTCTGATGATAAATCCTTAATATGGTATAATAGACTAGGGCAAGTTAGTGAAAAGGGATTGATGATTCTTAACAAACTTGGATGCTTTGAAAAAGATAATATTAAGAGTGTGAAATTTTGTGAAGATTGTGTCATTGGAGAACAAAATAAGCTACCTTTTAAAACAAGAAGTCATAAATCTACTTCAATACTTGATTATTTACATGCTGACCCTTGAGGTCCAACATTAGTAAATACTTTGAGTGAATGTAAATTCTATCTACTAATTGTAGATGATTTTTCAAGAAAAAATTGGAAATTTCTTTTAAAAACTAAATCTGGTACCTTCCAAATTTTTAAATAATGGAAATTAACGATAGAAAATCAAACAAATAAGAAAAAAAGCACTTAGACCAAATAAAGGGCTTGAATTTTGTAAAACTAAATTTGATCTTTTCTGTAAAGAATTTGGTATTTTAGAACATCACACACTCTTAAGCAAAATGGAGTTGATGAGAGAATGAATGGAACTTTACTTATAAAAGTTAGGTTTATGTTGTTAAGTTCCAGTCTTCCAAAACTGTTTTGGGGTGAAGCTTTAACTGCCACTTATATGATAAATAGAATTTCTTCTAGTGCTATTGATTTTTAAATCCTTGAATTATTATGGTCTGAAAAGTCGCTAGATTATTCCAAACTTAATGTTTTTGGATGTGATGCCTACTCTCATCAAAATGAAGTCAAACTTGAACCTAGATCTTTAAAATATATTTTTTTGGGCTATAGTGAAGAGTCTGAGGGATACCGAATTTTGGTAGGATTGGAATATGTTAATTCTGAACTCACAACTTTTGAAAAAATACTAACTGCAAAAAATCCAAAATTTGGATGGAAGCCACGAAAGAAGAAATGGACTCCTTAATCAGAAATAAGACATGAATTTTGGTTAATAAGCCTAAAGATCGAAAAGTTTTTGATTGTAAATAGGTCTCCAAAGTGAAAGATGTGAACCCAACACTGAAGGTAAAAGATATAAGGTAAAAGATATAAGGCCAGACTAGTGGCCGTCAGACTAGTGGCCAAAGAGTTTACTCAAAGATAGGGTATATATTATAATGAAATCTTCTCACATGTTGATAAATATACTTCAATCAGAATCCTGCTTGCTCTTTTTGCTCATTTCAATCGAGAATTGGACTAGTTTGATGTTAAAACTGCATTCTTAACTGAAGACCTCGATGAAACAATTTATATGAATCAGTCAAAGTGTTTTGAATTGAATTCCTAACCTAAAAAGTTTATCTTTAAAGAAGCCACTCTATGATTTGAAGCAAGCACATTGACAATGGTATAAGCAATTCAATTCATATATTCAAAACATGGGTTTTTCTAAGAGCAGTCTTGATTCATACTTCTATTTCAAAGGGTTAGGTGGTCTTGATTCTATATATATATATATGGATTGTGCTACATGTACATAACAATTTACATAATAGTTTATCAACAGATGATATAGCCGAATTTGATTGGATCAAAATCTCATCAATCTAATAACTTCCCCATTGACATTTTGACACCTAGTCATTATGTGAAACATCATGTAAATAATCATGTACAATAAGCATTTTCCATATATGTGTGTGTGTGTGTGTGTGTGTGTTGACAATATGCCCCTTGCTTGTCATGATAGATCTGAAGTTGATTTTGTTAAATCAAGATTAAAAGCTGAATTTGAAATGAAAGATCTAGGACAAGCTAAAAGGATTTTAAGAATGGAAATAAAAAGAGATAGAAACAATTGTGCGCTTTATGTAATGAATATGCCTACGTGAAAAAGGTTTTAGAAAAAATTTCTATGATTGAATGTAAACCTATAACCTTAACTATTGCAAATCATTTTAAACTGTTAAGTGAATAATTTCCTAAAACTAATGAAGAATTTTTTAGGATAAGAAAAATACCTTATGCGAATGTTGTTGGTTCAATTATGTAACTTATGATATGTACTAGACCTAATTTAGCTTATGTTGTTAGTATTTTGAGTAGATTTATGGCTAAATCAGGTGAAACTCACTGATTAGCAATAAAATGGGTGTTAAGATACTTAAAGGACTCACTTGAGCTAGGTTTAAAATTTCAAATGTGTAACTTTGAAAGGGTATACTAATTCTAACTTTATAGGTGATTTGGATAAAAGAAGATTTACTTCTTATATTTTTACTCTTTGTAATGGTTGTATAAGTTGGAAGTCTCAACTAAAAAAACTTGTAGCGTTATCCTCCATTGATGGTGAATACATTACAGCATGTAATGCTGTGAAAGAAGGACTTTGGTTGAGGGTATTATTAACTGAAATTGGTTTTATGAATGAAGTAGTTAAATTTTTTATAGATAATTAGAGTGCGATACATTTAAGTAAAAATCTTGTATATCATGATAGAACTAAACATGTAGATATTAAGTTCCATTTTGTAAGAAACATGAATAAAGCAGGTATGATAAATTTGGTAAGAATTCCAACTGATTATAATCATTCTGATATTGGCACTAAAATTGTGCCTTTGAACAAGTTCAAGAATTGTTTAACAATTCTGAACATTACATGAAGATAACCTGATTAGTAAATTTGTTTCTTACTATTCTTGTTTTTTGAGTTTTTTCACTAACTTCATTTATTTTTGTTCTTATAGGTATTTTAGAGCAAACGAAGCTTGCTAGTAACGTTTGATTCCACTTAAATAATCCATGAATAGCTCATAAGGTGGAGATTGTTGAATTTGGGCTCGATGCTTCACTATTCATTGGGCTCTAATCTTTTGCTTTCTTAAAGTTTTCTAGTTTGGATCTCTTTCTGTAATTTTGGTGTTTTCTCCGTAAATATGTTGAGTTTTGGTTCTGATTGTTTTTAGTAAACAATCAGTTGAGAGAAATTTGTATAGACTACTTGTTCTTTGTGTTAAAAGAGAGCGAGAGAAATCTGAAAAAATCTCTTCATACATTTGTACTATTTCTTGGTGATTTAATAGTGGAATCGAAACTAATCTACTTATAGATGCTCAACAGTTGAGTAGGCTTAAAGCTGAACATACGGGCCTTTGTAGCAAAAAATCCTTCATGTTCATTTTATTTTTCTGCAAAACTATATTGTTTACAAATTATTGTTGTAAATTCTTTGGGAATACGATTCTGAGACCAACAATCCTCAACTTACACAATCCATTGAGTGTTAATAAAGCCACTTCTGTTTCATGGCCTTTTGCTAGAATATCTTCCACAACATCAAAGCCTTACCAGAATTACTTTTCTTGAAAAGGCCATCGAGGAGAGTACTAAATTCCATTGCATCAGAAACAAAATCATCAAGCATATAAAATCATGAACAGTTACAATCTATACTCCTGTAAAATTATTTCATACTCCTTACGACACAAATTGTCTACAAAATATGATATACATATCAATAGGATCAGTATGAAGAAGGTTTAGTTGCTTCAACATAGTCGCCATAATATTCTTCTTCACAGTGCTGGCTTTTCTTCTGCTTCATGTATTTGTAAAAGACGTACTGAAGGATTATCTATGTCGAAAATCATATGTTAAGGCAAACACAACTTCAGAGAGAATTTTGGAACAAAAAAGTAAAAATGTGCTTATTTTTGTGAAAGAAATAGAAAAGGATACAAAGAGATCGAGCAGCACACAGCCAATAGCATCTAGTAACCAAGGCAAGTTGGCTTTTATCATCTTCCACTCTGTGGTTCTCACTAAAATGCTGCATTTATTCACTCAAATTTGTTACAAAACACAGGATAATTTTTGATAGCCAACTATTTAAAGACCCATACGTGAAACAAATATTTTGCATTTATTGGAACGAAGTCTTTTCTTTACCATGCTTTAAAATTTGAATAACTTGGATGATCAACTCTTTATTTAAAACTTGTGATTGATGATATATAATAAATGTGTAAATAAAAATGATGTTTGACCAGGCACTTAAAAACTTTTGCCGAACACACACGTATCTTTGCGAGAGAGAGAGAGAGGTAAAAACCTTCCAACATATGTAGCATTGGCAATGAGCGCAAAAACGAACATTAGAGGGTTCAATCCCTGTAAAGTAAAGCAAAAGTGTGATGAATTTTTCTTAATTTATTACTAAATTATGACGTGCGATCACAGTGTAACATAAGAACCATACTGTTAGGATTAAAAATTGAAGAGAAATCAATACCTCCACACTCCCTCTTTTGATCTGATGATTCAAGGCAACATAATACATATTAGAACCCTATTTTATGAAATCAAAAGAAAGAAAATAATGAATTTCAAACCAATATGGATTTGATAACACTCACACTCAACCAAATTTGCGGGATTCGTCCACCCATATATATTGCAGCCATCAACCAACCCAACCATTGTCCATATGCATTTTCTTGGAATGCCCGTTCCTGTAGATTTAGTGCCTCCTTAAAGTAAGCTTTATGAGCAGACTTTCCCAATTTAATAAAGAGTAGAATAGTATAGTAGAAAAACCTTCAAAAATCTCCTTCCTGTGAAAATTGAGCCACTGGCATCTGTTAAAGCTCTTGTTAAGAAGGGAAGATTTGCAGAAGCAGCTGCAAATGTTCCATATCCCACCTGATGATTTCCAAAAATTCACGCAATTGACTCAAGTTTTTTGACAAGAAATTGTATCATTCACTCCATATTTATTAAAAACAAGGTATGAAGTCAATGATTCTGGTGAGTTAAGACAGAAAACAAAACTTTGTTTATACTTGTGGATAGTAATTATGCTTACCAGACGCGGAATATTTCGAGGCTGACTAACAATAACAGCCTTGTTGAAGAAAGGAAGAAATGATTCATCTTCTTCAGATGAAGAGTCTGAATCATGTTCCAGATCAGGAGGACCGCTCCTTGCCTTTATATAACACTTATTCATTGGTGAACTATCACTGCTAGCCAAAGATCTTGCTGAACTGCATAAATTATATTGATAATCATGCCAATTTGTCTTAATTTTACATTATATAGATGCATAAAGTGTACGTTTTTGCACACACTATAAGAAAAGAAGAGAAGAACATAAGGATTGATTTCTTACATGTAGTAGAAGTCCCTCCTACGTGGTACCTCAACAGGAACATTTGATGTTGTTTTTCTTCCATCTTCAAACTTCGATTTTGGAGCATCAGTCTCATCTTTATCCTTTAACGAAAATTCATGGGGATAAAAAATTTACAGATCATTTGACTAACAAAATTTGTATAAATAGATGGATAATCGTATGCTAATCTTGAAAAAATCGTACTGTTTTTGCTTCAATTTTCCGTCGCTTTCTCAAGCACGGAAGAAAATGGTTGTAGTAAATGCATTGGAGTGCCAATATGATTGTAACTGTTGTATAGAGCTGCAAGAAACCAGACACTGAACAATTGATTGCATATTGTAGGGAAAGTCATTTGTTAAATTAGTTTGGGTTAAGACTTACCCATGCAGTGTAAAACTGGGTGTGTAACTGCATAAAATCAACACATCAATCTATCAGAATCACAAAACATAACATATGTACTGTATATCCTGGCAGCTATTGCATTTGCTTTAAGGTTTAAGCTACAGTACTAGTCATGATAGTATTGATGGAAAAAATTTGTAACAACAAATTCAATATGTTTCAATTCTCTAGTTATTTTTTCAATTGAATTGGTGGTTACAAAGGCTTAATGACTATTGTAATATATTTTTTAATAATGAAAAATTAATAGAAAATTCAAACCCACTCATCTTAGCATTATATAAGGAGGTGTTCTCCTCCTTATTCCACACACCAACAAATTTGAGAGTTCTCTCAAACTTATATATATATTTTTTAGCTCAGTGATAGAATTGATCATTCTCAATTCATCTAAAGCAATGACGAGATAATAGTGAGCTGTTTTCAACCTTTGTATATTAGGAAATTGACGTCATAGGCTTCTTGCACCATAGTAAAGGACGAATCTGTTTTAAGGAATCCGTGTTTAACATAGATTTTGATTTCTTCCAATACTGCTACTACATCAACAACCAAATTTTCTCTTTTACTGTTATTTGGTTTCTTGTAATGTTTCTTTCCATTATTTTATAATTTCAATAGTATTTATAATTTCTTACTGTATTTTCCCTAACAAGTGTAACTTGCTTAGGTGTAGAGGTCGTTAAGTCGGACCTTGTCCGAGCCGCACCTAATTCTCTTTCCCATATAGCTGAAAATTAACCATATATATATATATATATATAGATATATAGTTATCTGCGTTAAAAAAAATAATATTAATAAAAAATAAAAAATTGGAAATGCTTTGTGTACACGGATAAAGCCAAATGATCCGTGCCGTTGACACTCTGGATGACCACAACCTCACATGGTCGACGTGGGTTCTCCATGAATAAAATAATCTTGACCCCCACGCATTTATATTATGTCAACCATGTGGTCATCCATGCAGGCTATATAGCTCGGTCCATGTGTACACCTTGAGGTGTACAAAATGAGTTATACCCCCCTCGCATAGAGGAGGATCCATGGATATTTTACTGTACGTGGGCTCCTTCACGTGAGGGTGGTGTAATGTTATGTGTACAAGTAGCATTTTTTGTGGTTTTTTTTTTTAATGGGTGACATCTGTTCACAACTGGAATAGTCTATGTCACAGAATTGTCTTTAGAATAATCCATTATGGAGCCTCGTCTTTTTGTAATAACTCAAGCTAAAAGAACTATATAAAATAACTTTCTTCTCTAACCTCTTCTATTTCTCAAATATTCTTCTTAATTACGTACTATCTAAATTATACTCTTCCTAACGCTAACGCATTGTTTGCTTTACTAATCCCACTCTTTAACTACGCCAAGCTATTCAAAAATAGTTTGAGCTTACATAAAGTCTGGATTTGATGATAAATACTCGAACTATTGCTAAGAAACCTTCTTAAGAAGTGTATTTTCCAGTGCTTAAAGTGTATGTTCTACCCAAAGTGGCATTGTTGTAACTTTGAAGAAGTGCCAAATGGCATTGCCGTGGTTAAGAGACGAAGCAGGGGTAAACCAGTCAAGTGGATGAGCCAACCCAGGGGTTTCAACAAACTGAGCCGAGCCGAGCCGAGCTTGAGCTTTTTTTGGCCCAAGTTGAACCGGGCAAAAGCTCGGCCAAAAAATTGAGACTTGACCCAATCTTTCAGCTCAAGCCTTACCGAGCAACTCGGCTCGATTTTCTTTTTCTTTCTCATGAAGGCAGCAAGCTGCCTTTGTGCTGCCTAAACAAAGGCAGTAGCCAGCTGTCTTTAAAGCAGTTGCTTTAATTTTTTTCATTTCGAGGCAGCCCGCGAGCTATACGGGCTGGCTCGAGCTTGGCCTGAGACCGAACCTTGAGTAGAGTAGGCTCGAGCTTTATACGGGCCGGGCCACGGCACAGCTCGAGCTCACGAACCAATTTGCTATCCCTAAGCCAACCTATCTATTTCGTGGTTGACCAAAGGAGTTGACCCAATGATGGTGAGGCTAAATTACTTGCTTATAAGTTCCATAAAAGTCACTTTCCTGGGTTGTAGAAATTTTTTGCTATTATTTTCAGTCACCTGGAGGAAATTTACAGGTGTCCACCCCCACCCCCCCCCCAACACAAAAAACCCCAAACACCTTTTATAGAAGTTCCCACGTTGCTAATTTTAAGAAATAACTACCGAACATATATATATTTTTATTTTTAATCTTCGAATGTACCTATTAATCTCATAAACTCGAGCTTATCGATATCTAGTTGACGTGAAAATTTTCTCCAGTAATCTCTTACTCAGACCAAGTGCCCCATTAACATAGTCCAATGATAATAATCATTACAATTCCTTAAATAATTACCATCTCCATCGCGCTAGGCCTAAGTTACTATGGAGATTCCACTACTTCCAGAGTAACCATAAAAAAAAAAAACTTCCTATCACTACAATAAATAGGATCCAGACTTTCGTTCGGATCTTCTACATATACGAAGACTCATCATGCGCATCTATACGACTAAGTATAGGTTGTTCAGACTTAAAGTTTGAGGCAAGTCAAAAAAATTAAATAATCAAATCAGTTATAAATCTCAAATGAGTTAAATTTAATCTCAAATGTTGAGTAATTATTATTGACTGAAGTTGATTGAGTTGAG